TACTTAGCAGAAAATATTTTTAAAACAAAATTTCCTTCCTTTCCTTCTTTAGAGTCACAAATGGAGCCCGACCCCACCCCAGCACCAAGACAGGGGGTATTTATGTGTAGCCCTGGCTGTGCTGGAACTCACTCTGTAGACCCCGCTGGACTTGAACTCAGAGATCTGCCTGCCTCTGCTTCCTTGAGTGCTAGGATTAACGGTGTGTACCACCACCACCTGATGGAAAACCTTCTCCCCCAAGACAAGGTTTCTCTGTGTAACTGTCTTGACTATCCTGGAACTCTGTAGACCAGGCTGGTCTAGAACACAAGTTTGCTTCAGATGTCAATCCCTTCTCCCTCTCCCTCCCCTCCCCCCAACATCCCACCTGCCCCTAGCCATCCCCCCTCCACTCCCCAGGCAGGGTAAGGCCCTCAAAAGGGGCGCCCCAAAGTCTACCACATCATCCTGGACAAGGCCTAGGCCCTTCCCCATGTGTCCAGGTCAAGAGAGTATCCCTGCACATGGGATGGGTCTCAAAATCCCTTCTTTTTTTTTAAGACCTTACATATTTAATACAGTTCAACATTTCTAGACCAATATGGCTGTTAATTTTTGTACAATGCCAACTCAACACAGTAAACTGAGATACTTTTTTCCAAAATTGACAGCACAGCTAAAGTTTCCAAAAATTCAAATATATATATATATATGTGAAAATAGCAGTATGTTAAGAATCAATAGCAGCAACAGCTTTTCCAGGTTCTGCAGTCATTTGAACAAAATTGAATTCACTGACTTTTCAGGAGGCCATGCAAATATGATCGCATAGTTCTTGTTAACTCTAACAAAGAAGAGAAACAGAGTGAGTAAAATTACATGTTATGGCACCATTTTTTTTTAAATTAGCTTCTCAATCATCATCTGGAAGGAAACCATTCTGAGCAACATCATTAAAAACAGCTCTGCTAAAGCATGGTCACTACTATGTATCATAAAGCAGGTCCACATATGAATGAGTACATATCATGTTTGTCTTTTTGTGATTGGGTTACCTGGCTCAGAATGGTTTCTTCAAGTTCCATCGGGAAAACCTTTTTAAAATGTCAAGATTTGATTTTCTTTTATAAGAGTAGACACCTGTCACATATATTGAAAAGAAACCTAGAGGCCACATGGAGCCCTGAGCCTGCAAGCTCCAGGGTTCTCCTCACCTG